GTCCATGTTTTGGTATGGAAAACCCTAAAAAATCACTCAGATACAAAAAATAGCAGGTGCTCAACTCAATGTCATGTAGAATAATATGTGAAATTTTAGTGGAATTCTGTCCAACCATTTTTTTAAAGTTGGAAATTAACATCAGTTCAAGTTTGGTTCAATTTAGTCAAGCTGTTTTCAAGGAGTTGTGAATTAAATATTGATATTAAAGCAGAAATGGCTTAATCCTTATTTTTGGAAAGTCAAATCCTAAAAATTTACTTCAATCAAAAATGATTAAAAGTCGTTGGTGCATAACTTCATTTTCTATAGAAGAATAGATGCAAGTTTGGTTGAATTCTATAAGAAGGTTTTGAAGGAGCTGCAGGAATTACCAAGTAATTTGAAATATGACATGGAAGATTTCAATACAATAAGTCAAGCTCCAAATAGTCTGGAGTCTATAACATTTGTGAATATATCAGAATGATACTTATGGTATAATGAATGGATAGTTATCTCTCATTGAAGACCATGTAAGGAAATGACGATGTTTTTGGTGATTACTTTATTGAGCTGTAGTCTATTTTTACATTCATCTGAGTTCTCCATTCATGTATAATTCTACTGGAGATATTTTATAACATTTCCTCAAACATTTTTTTTATTTCCAAGAATAATATTATTATTGATAAATATGCCATATTATATTTCCCTTGAATCATGTAAATGACAATTAATAAAAAACATTATATCATCTAGATCCGGTAATAAATTCCAATCTGACAGCATGTGCAGATAGAATTCCAATATCTTGCACTTTATGATGAAGTTTTCAAAACTTAATTACTTTGTATTATCAATTTACATTTTCTTCCCTGCAAGCATAAGATATCATCAAAAGTCAAGTTTCAGTACCATTTCCATTCAATCAAATTTAGAGTGAAGAATGTTTAAACAGCAAAATTAAATCAGATTTCATAGATTTGAAATTATCTATTTGTCATTTTGTCAAATTTTAAGACAAACAGTATGATGTAATACAGAATTACCAACTTTTTTCCTCTTTCATTGATATTGAAAATTTACAATCATACGGGGTGTGCTGAAAACTAATGACTGTTACAGCATGCTGTTTACTTTCAAAATTGTTCAAATGTCTCGATTAATAACTGTCTGCTTTGGAATCTGAAATTATGAGGCTTCAAAGACCCTATACATCATCACAGTACATATATATGGCTTATCTTGTCAATCAAAAGGATGTATTTGGCAAACAAAAATTAACTAAGTCTACAAGGGAGGGGTTAAAAAATGCATTTAATAGTTTATATCTCTAATAAAGAGCTGTGCCATGAGCTCATGATACGCCCATTGCTTTTTCAATGAATAAAGTTCCATAACTCCTCAATGTCATATCAGAAATTAAAAAAAAAATAATAATAAAGGAAGCTTATTTTAATAGATATAAACCAGTCACCAAAGTCTCATGAAAACTGATTAAAGCATTTTTGAGTTATTGTCCGAAAACTGGAAAATCCCCCCTTTTTTATAAATAAAATCTAATAACTCAGAAATATAAAATCTAAAATTTATACAAATCAAAAGGGAGCTTACGTCAATACACATATTAAATCAATTCGCCAAAGTTTCACGAAAGTTGGTTACAGCATTTTTGAGTTATTGTCCAACATGTTGAAGACAGACGGACGGACAACGGTATGCCATAATACGTCCCGTAAACGGGCATATAAAAATAGAATGTAAGCACTGGACATTTTAAAGAAGATTGGAGTTTTACAGTACAAGCTGTGTGTCCCATTAGCCAGGAGCCTGTAATTCAGCGGTTGTTGCTAGTTTCTCTATCTTATTTAGATTTCGTTAATTGTTGAAGTGTAAATCAGGCCTTTGGTAATCTTGTTTGAGTTGTTTAAACATTCATGTCAGGTTTTTTTTTATAGTTTACCTTACTATAATATACAGTATGGGTTTTGCTCGTTATAGTGTACCTTACTATAGTATACAGTATGGATTTTGCTCGTTATAGTTTACCTTACTATAGTATACAGTATGGGTTTTGCTCGTTATAGTGTACCTTACTATAGTATACAGTATGGGTTTTGCTCGTTATAGTGTACCTTACTATAGTATACAGTATGGGTTTTGCTCGTTATAGTACAGTATGGGTTTTGCTCGTTATAGTTTACCTTACTATAGCATACAGTATGGGTTTGCTCATTATAGTGTACCTTACTATAGTATACAGTATGGGTTTTGCTCGTTATAGTTGACCTTACTATAGTATACAGTATGGGTTTTGCTCGTTATAGTTGACCTTACTATAGCATACAGTATGGGTTTTGCTCGTTATAGTTGACCTTACTATAGTATACAGTATGGGTTTTGCTCGTTATAGTTTACCTTACTATAGCATACAGTATGGGTTTTGCTCGTTATAGTGTACCTTACTATAGTATACAGTATGGGTTTTGCTCGTTATAGTTTACCTTACTATAGCATACAGTATGGGTTTTGCTCGTTATAGTGTACCTTACTATAGTATACAGTATGGGTTTTGCTCATTGCTATACATTTGCCTATAGTTTCTTACATCCATGTCATTAAGTATCTTCTCAACTATTTTTTTTTTCTGTATCAAGTATCCCATTAACATAAGGGATGTTTGTTTTTTTTTTCAATTAAATGAATAAGATCTGAGGAAAGAAAAATCTTTACAAAGGAAACAGATATTCCTTTGCTCTGTTGAAACATTGTTGTTAAAAAAATTATATCATACTATTATATTTATATAACATTGAGTAATGAACCTTTTGGTAAAGATATCAACTTAAGAACTTCTTCAATTCATACATTAAATTATTTTTTTTATTTTTTTATAGTTATAGTCACAGTTATATATACAAATAAAAGAAGAATGTATCTGAGGACACAAATGCCCCCGCTCAAACTTGCTCAAATACGTGAGAGCATTTGATGTCACTGCTAGTGCAGAAATGAAAAAAATTGCAATTTTCCAAGTTATAAAGGGGCATAACACTAGAACGGTTAGTGACTCACTGTTCAAATTTAAACTCTCTGTCTGCGAGTTTTGGTTCTTAGCATTTTGTAGTATGAGTCTCATAAAACTTGCATGAGGCAACCTTAAGTTAAAGTGCAGAAACCAAAATATTTGCAATTTTCCAAGTTATAAAGGGACATAACTCTAGAATGGTAAGTGACTCTCTGCCCAAATTCAAACTCTGTCTGTAAATGTTGCTTCTTAGCATTGTGTATGAGTTTCATAAAATTTGGATGTGAAAAACTTAAGTTAAAAGTGTGAAAACAAAAAATGGGACAGACAGATGGACAGACGGATGGAAGGACGGTCAAGGGTTACACTTAATGACCCCTTCGCCTACTGGTGGGGGTATAAAAAATGCAGAAAATCTTAAAATTACAAAATGCTAACACAACTTATTTTTTAACTCTTAAATTCTTTGATTAAACTGAGTATTATAATTTATCTTTTTTCATTTTCATTAGCAGATACATTTTTTTAAAACTTTACCAGTCTATTAGTGATAGAAAATGAAATCCAATTTGTGTGGCCTTTGTATGGTAAACAAAGGATTGTATACATAAGTCATGTCTATGACTTTTATCAGGATGACATATACCATAAAATGTTATTGACTGTGGACATAAAACTACAATTATCGGTAAATCATTTTGTCAATGCAATTCACATTCCATAGACTTTTACATAAGGCCTATACAAATATATAACCAAAAATTAGTAAAATTTACAATCACACAAAATTAGCCCAGTCAACAATTTCAATACATTCACAAATACTAAGAACATGTTTTATTGTATAGAAACAAAATATTTCCCATCAAACATAACGAAAATTTAGCATCCAATATTCTATGATACTGCACTATAGTGCAAATAATAAGCTTCAAATTATCAACATCATCAGTGACAAAAATATGTTTTTTTCCAAAACTCTGCTATACAATAAAATATATACCGGTATTGCAATCCCAGGTCATGCAATATTAAAATCTACTCTGGACAATATTCATGCAATAAACCTACATTATTAGAAAAATTTAACCAATAAACTTGCTACAGACCATGTTTTCATTTTTTATTGCACATGATAAGTTGTAACTTTAATGCATGCTTGAATAAAACTGTCAGACATTTAAACATTTTCCTTCCATGAAATGTAACATGGTTAAGAGTATATATACATGAAATTCAATTAAGCAACCTCATTCTGCAGACTGGATTCTGGGTAACAGATTACTAAGCAGCTCTATTTGCTAAATTGATAATACATGAAGTGTAAATTTGTAATTTTCCGATCAAATTTTGTTCATGAATCCTATTAAATCATATTCAACATCACAGACTAAATGTGATTGTTTTCACAACATCATAAGTTCAATCAAACCAGAATGAAAGTCAGCGCTTTTAATTTTTTTCTTTAAAGTGAAATTTGTGAGTGCATATTCTATCCTTGTTCAAAGATAATGTTAATACATTTTGTATCTCTATTCCAGTCATCTAAGGACATTTTGTACATATAAATCAATTTTGCACATGATGCAATAGCTTGAGACTTTATATCTTCAAATTCACCCTATAAAGTCTAGAAGACCATTTGGTAACTTTATTCATGTAAATTTGGTACCTTCTTCAATTTGAATTTCACCTAGACTCTCTGGTGTAGGACTCAGTATGGCTCTGTATACACAACTTCATAAGAAAATACTGTACACTGGTTTAAAATCTATGAAAATATAGCCAACTACAGTGATGAAATATTTGCAAACTGCTGCAAGTAGAGTAAATTAGACATATTGGATTGGATTTTAAAATGGAATCTTACATGATTCAGTTAATGGAAAAGATAGGTGTATCAATTCATGATTGATTGATTGTTGGTTACTTAACATATCAATTCCTGACACAAAATCACTAAGCAGATTACATGATAATTTATACTTACTTTGTTGTTCTGCTTTTGGGGGTTCAAATGGTACATCTGAAAAATAAATATATGATTTTAATTCATTATAAATAAAAAGAAAACTGCATTTCATGCTTTATGTGTTTGTGTAATGTAATTTTAAAATAATGCTTCAAACCTGTTTTCAGTTTCAATTTTAAACAAGTCAGAGAAGTGTATGTTTTTCACCTTCTTTTGGAGGTACATATGAGGAATTATACATTTCACTTCTTACATCAATAAACATAATCAATTAATACAGCATACTACAAACATAGTTCAACAAGATATGTGTCCATAGGACACCATGCTCTAGTCATACTATCACATTTCAATGGTCAGTGAACAGCAAAGTTGGGTTCAAAATCCTTATTTGGCAACCTGATGCAGAGCAGAAAGACAGACAAACTGGCTGACAGACAGACAGGAAAACATCATGCCCACAACTATCATAGGCGGGACATAAAAGAAGGTATACAGTTAATGATAAATACGACAGAGTACCTGTTCAAATTAACACAAGTTGTGGTCTTTATGTTATAAGGTGCAAGGACTTAAGCTAATGATGAAACACATTCTAGAAACACTCAAAATGATGAACAGCAATAAGAGCACTATTCCTTTATTATATAATGATATCTGTGGTATGATTGCCAATGACACATCTTTCCACAAGAGACCATTTATGACTAAGAAATTATTGTATTTCATGAAATTATTTTTTATCTAGATCCATCCTATCTGTCCCCATTCCAATTTTGCAATTTATAGTTTCCCTTAAACTAATTCTAAGTTTAATGGAATCTCTAAAGCAATATCATTACTAAGCAAACATTCTAAAAAGTTAAAAACAAAAATAGTATCTCATTGGATAATGAAATGAAATTTGATAAAATCAATAACTTTTCCATTCCTATGTTAAAATTGTCAAAGATAAAATAGGTTGGATTATGAAATATTCAATTTTAAAGCAATATTAGATTTCAAAGCCAGACATAATGATTCTGAGGATTACAACCATTTACAAAGATTAGGACTGATAAATAGATTGAGGAAGGTATATTCCATGGATAAACAAAAAATGGTCTTATTAGTGATCTAAATATTAGATACCACAGTCTATCAGGGATGTAATATTAATCATCCGGGAAATATAAATATGTATAAACATCTATAGAGTGGTCCTTTTTTGGTTTTATCGGCTCTTCAATGTTTGTATTAGGTTTTCCATTTTCCAATATTTTAGCCTAAATCATCACAGAAGAGACATTGATTGTTGAAAGATAGGCATCTGATGCAGTCAAATTGGTATTGTTACTGTTATAAATAACAATGTGTCAGTATAAAAATATTCTAAAGTTATCATTGTTACTCACTTGGAAATGTAAACTAGAGGCTCTATAGAGTCTGTGTCGCTCACCTTGGTCTATGTGCATATTCAATAAAGGACACTCTCTTTTGTAGAGAACAGAATTCATGCCAAAATTTCTTGTTTTGTTGATCTTGGATTGCTGATCATTTAGACTGTTTAGTTTCTCTATATCTTCTTTAGTTTTTGCTCAAAATACAAAAGAGTGTAAAAAAAATCCTCATTTAAAGGCAATCACTCCTATAAAGAATGACAGTCTACCAACTATATCGGCAAAATTTGACTTGTTAGTAGATCTTGCCCTCATGATCATTTTTGTGATTTAAAGTGTCTATCTATTATAATTTTTCTCATATAAGGCAAAAAGCAAAAAAAAATGGTAAAATTTCCTCCATTAACTGTCTTAATTGTAGATCTAATTTTTGTCTTGCTGATCATTTTTGCTTATTTAAGTTTCTATCTATCTATTATAATTTTTAAGATATAAGGCAAAAACGCAAAAAAATGGTAAAAATTCGTAAGGGTTCCGCGGAACCCAGTGTCTCGCCTACTTTTTCTGTTAATCACAGGCTCTACAAAAATGAGGAAGTACATCAATAAAAAATATTCCACTTGATACTATCTTTTGATTGTAAGAAGCTTCAGTCCAAGTTTGGTAAAAATCCAGGATAGTTTATGAATCTAATAAATGTTTAAAAACTTTAACTGCAGAATGAATGTAATTTTATCTGGAAGAAAACAAAATTGCCTTCTAGATACTAGCATTTGATCATAAACAAGCTTCTGTCCAAGTTTGATACAAATCCAAAATAGTAAAAGAAAGTTATTAAAATTTTAAAAACTTTAACCACAGAGTGAATGTGTTGTTTCCTGGCAGAAAATCTAAGTCCATTTAAAAGTAAAATACGGAAAAAACAGATTTATTTTTTTACAAAATTTCCTTCTAGATACTAGCTTTTGATCATAAACAAGCTTCTGTCCAAGTTTGGTACAAATCCAAAATAGTATAAGAAAGTTATTTAAATTTTAAAAACTTTAACCACAGAGTGAATGTGTTGTTTCCTGGCAGAAAATCTAAGTCTATTTAAAAATAAAATAAGGAAAAAATGGATTTATTTTTTTACAAAATATACTCCTGAATAATATCTTATGATCATAAACAAGCTTCTGTCCAAGTTTGGTACAAACCCAGGATAGTTTAAGAAAGTTATTAAAATTTTAAAAACTTTAACCACAGAGTGAATGTAATATTTCCCGGCAGAAAAACTAAATCCATTTATAAGTAAAATACGGGAAAAATGGAATTTTATTTTTACAATATTTACTTCTGGATACTATCTTATGATCATAAACAAGCTTCTGTCCAAGTTTGGTAGAAATCCAGGATAGTTTAAGAAAGTTATTAAAATTTCAAAAACTTTAACCACAGAGTGAATATTTGTGGAAGCCGACGACGACGCCGACGGAATGTAGGATCGCTATGTCTCGCTTTTTTCGACTAAAGTCGAAGGCTCGACAAAAATCATCATCAAAGGGCAATAACTCTAATAAGGAGTCGACTGACGATTTGGACCAATTGCAGACTTATTTGTAGAACTTGTCTTGATGATCATTTTTGCAATTTAAAGTTTCTCTCTATCTATTTATAGTTTTCAAGATAATAGGCAAAAATGAAAAAAAATGGTAAAATTTGTCGTTTAAGGGCAATAACTCCTATAAAAAGTCATCTGACAGTTTTGAGGTATATATGGAAAACTGGTAGAGCTCAACATTTTGAACATTTTTGCCCCTGTCAGATTTTCTCTATTTATAACAGTTTTCAAAATAATAGACAAAACTTGCATTTTTCCCCTATGTTCTATTTTCAGCCATGTCAGCCGTCTTGGTAGGCAGGCAGGGTCATTGGACACATTTTTTAAACTAGATACCCCAATGATGATTGTGGCCCAGTTTGGTTAAATTTGGCCCAGTAGTTTCAGAGGAGAAGATTTTTGTAAAATTTAATGGACAACAACGGACGACAACTGACGCCAAGTAATGAGAAAAGCTCATTTGGCCCATTGGACCAGGTGAGCTAAAAAGACAGAAAAGGCGAGCTACTTGCCCTTTGACCTTAGTCTGATAAAAAAAATGTCCCAATTACCTAACAATTAAGATCAATATTTAGATATGAGCAATATCTTAATTTATCTGAAAGAACAAGTTGCTGTAAGACATGTTGACATGAGTCAATTATATTTTGGATAAAAGTAATGCTAATATGTAAGATTTAAAAACCAAAAGTCCATTTGTTATTTGTTATTCTAATATCTAACAAATCATGTGCATGTGAGGTCATAGTGACATCACAAATGACCTTTTTTCTTGACTGAATTCTCCAGAATATATCTTTTTATTCATGTTGTCAATAAAAAAAACATAATTTTGAAATCTTTAACAATTTCCTGGGTTAATTAATGACTCTCATTATAATATACCACCTTCTTTCAGGTTCACAATCAATAATATTCTGTAACAATGCCTTTGTCTTGGATAAACACATACTATTTTTAGCAATTACATATCCATATATTAGGCCTAAAGCTTTTAACATGTAAAAATGGTGAGAGTAAAAAGGAAAGTTATTGACATATATGACAATGGCATGAAAGATATTCTGTAATCTAAATTAGAATCAAATATTGCTACTTCCTTAAATTTTCCTTGATATTTCCATGTGATAATTTTCCATCTCAAGCTACTCTGTAACTCATTTGAGATAAAGTATCTTTCAGTCGAGTAGAGTTTGAATGTGATGACATCATAAGCTAAAGTCATTGACATTGCCTAGGAAAATAGCAATATACAGATTATCTATTGTCTATCAAACTCCAGGATCATCTTGAACCTGCATGAAATATTTGCCACTGGATGTTAAACAACCAACAATCAAATGAATTTTTCCAACTTCAAGAAGTTTCTGGGCTGCATCTGATCTCTATGTTATTAATTGCCCTTCAATGAGGTTGTACCCAAGAAACTCCCTCTCATTTTCAAAACCACTGACAATGTATAAATATAACATAAGTTTTAAATATACAACATTGACAAAATTTAAAAAAAAATACCCAAAGGTCTCACAATGACATTCACATCATTGATGAAAAAGAGAGAAGGGTAGAAAATGCATACCTGGAATTCTTGTAAGATTTTGCACTGTTATTTGGCACTTATTCAATAACAAGGAGATACCAGACTTAATATTGTTAACTTTTGAAATTTAGCAGCTTATTTCTATTTCATTATAAAAGTAGATCAAATTTTTCAATTTTTGACAGCAAAGCTTTAACGTAGATAATTTGTTTTGTCTATAGTTCAAGGCACATTGAATGGTTAAAAACAAAAAAACAAAAACCAAATGACTCAAACTTAATTCAATAATAGTCTTATTAGATAAAATGTTAGAAAACAGGCCTCTGGGAAATCCTTTAAGTCTGTCTTTAAAAATTGTATTATCAAATAGATTTGGCTAGAACATTAATTTATCTTATTGTCAAACTATATGTGGTTTACCCCAAGTTACAATTTCAAACAGTCTATGCACATCTTTATCATAATATATAGGTAAAAATGCATGTGCTTAAAACTGAAATTTATAAATGGGATGGAAGATACCTGATTCCAAATA